CACACACACACAAAATAGACAGATAGACAGACATTCAGACACAGACAAGACAGACAGACAGACAGACAAAGGGGGGGGTGAGTGCGTCCTGCACAGAATCCCCGCCTCTCGAGCGCTGAAGCCCCGCTGCCACGGCTTCCGGGCGGCGGACGGAGGCGGCGCGAGGCCGAAGGTTGTGCTTGACGTGGCGGCCGCGGGGGGTGAGGGCGGGCGGTGAGGGCGCCTACTTTTGGCCTCCTTCTCGAAGGCGCGGCTGGACCTCGGCCTCATGGTGCGGCGCTGAGGCTGGCCTCGGTGGTGGGGGGGCGATGCTGATGTTATTGCTGCTCTTAATTTTGCTAATGATGGTTTATATCATGTATTCTTTGAACTATATGATACTAGTTTTTATTCTCGATATATATATGTATATATATATATATATATATATATATATATATATATATATATATATATATATATATATATAATGTTTAATACCAACTTTTAAAAAACGTCTTCCAATTTCTTGTTTTCTATAAAGAGCAATGAAGCAATATTTGACATCAAAGAAAAAGAAATGTTACAGAATATTATTTTTTATATTTCCTTTCTGTGATACAGATTTTAAACGTTCATTAGTTTCGACGTATTTGCCATTGTCGGATTTTATTTGGAGTTGAAAGTGAAATTTTCATGATTTCTATTTTTTTTTCTGAGTTATTCTTGGAAATTGGTTTGTCGCGCGTGGGAATCGGCAGTTGGGGCTCCGCGCGGCCAGGATTTCCTTCGTAAATGGAATGGGCCGCTTGGGCGCTGCGGGGCGGGCGGACGGGGGGGGGGCGGGATGGTTTGACAGGCCCTGCTTCTCCTCCTCTCCTTTTCCCTCTCATTCTTCTTCTCTCTCTTTTCCTTCTCCTCCTCCTTTTCTTCTTTCTCTTTTTTCTATCGCCTCCTCCTCCTCTTCTTCTTCTTTCTCTTATTTCTATCTCCTCCTCCTCCTCTTACTCCTATTCCTCTCCTTCTTTCCTCTTCTCCTCCTCCTCCCCCCCTCTCTCTCTGTGTCTCTCTCTCTGGATCAAGTAAACAAGAGTTAACAACTAACCCCCTTGTTGTCCATTCAGGATTACAGCTTCTGTAATCTGTTCGCAATTATCCTTCTGTTACGCGTCGTGGGGCCGCTCCCTCGGACCGAACCGAGCCACTGGCCTCGACTGCTTACAACACTGCTTCTACTTCTATCACTACTGCCGCCGCCGCCCACCGCCGCCGCCCACCGCCACCGCCGCTACTGCTACTTAAAAGGGATTAGAACAATATCATATTTACGAATATACGGTCAATGGTTCGTTTACGACTGCTCAAGGCAAGATAATTCAACATTTGCATCTAAACGGCGGCACCGCACAACAAGCCCTATTCCGCCCCAAGTCCCAGGCCACGGCACCTTCTCGAACAGGCAACCTCGCTGCAATGTTCCCTGATCGAGCCAGTCACAGGCTGGTAGTTGTCATGGAGTTCAGGTGTGGATCAGCCTCGTGGAAACACTAAAGCCTAATCATTTTTGCATTTTTATACACTCTCGGGAGAGTTAGATGCTGTCAACTCACCCGCAGCGAATCCGCGGTGACCAGCGGAACTAGATATGTTATATTGCACACGAGCCGTGGGATCTGACGGGGCAGCGCATTCCTCTACCTTTTGTTCAATGTCCTGTACGTATGCACATGTGTTAGCTTTGTATTGTGTGTGCTCGTGTCTGTGTTCATTGTCAATTTTAACCCAATGTCGCCGGGGAAAATGAACAAAAAATGGGGAAAATGCTGTGCCCACTTTCTATGTTTTTCGTGAAATGTCTGCCGAAAGATGGCTCTGCTAGCGCCTGATTTGAAATGGCGGGAAAAACGTATTTTTCACTAGTGCTATGAAAATCGAAGGTGTTATTTTTATCATAAACATTATATTTTTTATAATGTTTTTTAACATTAGTAACAGCAAAATAAGATAACGTAAAATAATTCGTAAATCAAAGAAACGGGTAAACGGGCGAGACGGGCGGTACTCGTAGTTGGCTCATTGGTGATTTAGTACAAGTGTTGCCATTTATGCATTAAAACAATCAAACAAGTACTCATGGTGGGTATAACACGTACGTACACGTCATACCCGGCACCAATGGGTTAAATCTTTATGTCTTAAATATTTCACGTGATTGTTCCGGCCTTTGTCTTCAACAGAACGCCACTTCTCAAAAGCCTAACCGGATTCTATTCTTTGTATAGTCTAGGTACTGTGTATTTTCCTGGCTAAATAAAGCACTCTCTCTCTCTCTCTCTCTCTCTCCCCCTCCCTCTCCCTCTCTGTAAGGGGGCGTGACGTGTGTGGGTGAGCGTCATAGCGCCTTGGGTGACAGATCCGTGGCCCCTGCGTATGGTGGGGAGCTCTCGCTTCTCGCCAAGAGGCAGGAGGAATCGGAAGGCGCTAACTTATGCATCTAAGCGAGAAGGAGAAAGAGAGAGCG